TTTCAAAAATTTCATTTTTAATTTTAATAAATATTTTTTTATTTTCTTCTCTTTCTTATTAAAACTACTCTGCGTCACTTTAATAATAATTTAATTTAAAATTTAAATATTATTTAATATAATTTTATATTTTAATAATTATTTAAATATAATTTATATTATTATAATAGTTATATAAAAAATAATTAAAATAAAAATAATAACAATAAAACAAAATTATATGAAATAAAATATTTAATATATTTAAATATATTAAATTATATTAAAATATTAAATTAAATAATTATCAAAATTTAAATAAAAAACAAAATTTTAAAAACAATTATTTATCATATATCAAATAAAATTATATTAAATAAAATATTTAATATCTTTAAATTAAATAAAATTATATCAAAATATTAAATTAAATTAAATAAAATTATATTAAATAAAATTATATTAAATAAAATATTTAATATAATTTAATATTTAAATATTAAATGTCATTTTAAATATTATTTTTATTTTCATTATTATTACTTTTATTTTAGTTATTATTATTTTAATTTTTTAATAAAATTATTATAAAAATATAAATTATATTTTAATAACTATTAAAATATAAAAATATAATAATAATATGGGTTAAATATGTTTTTAGTCTTTCAACTATCAAGCGATTTTGTTTTTCGTTCGTCTTTCAAACTTTGTACGCTTTGATCCCTCTCCTTAAGGAAACTATAATTTTTCGTCCTCCAAAACTAACGCTGTTAGAATTAGGTTGAGTTGGCTAACGAATTGCCACGTCATTATTTTTTTTTCTGACACTAAGTCAATATGTCCCTCACCATACGACCGAACGGTATTGTTAATGACCAAACGGTTATGATGACTGAATGGTGATGGTGGTCGAACGGTATTGGTAATGGCCGAACGGTATTGGTAACGACCGAACAATATTACTAATGGTCGAACGATTATGACGACTGAATGGTGATGGTGACCGAACGGTGATGGTAACTGAATGGTGATGGTAACCGAACGATGAGGGACAGATTGACTCAATGTTAGAAAAAAAAATGACGTGGTACTTCACCGTTAGCCACCTCACTTGATTTTTAACGCCGTTTGTTTTGGAGGACCAAAAGTTATGGTTTCCTTAAGGAGAGGGGTCAAAGCGTACAAAGTTTGAAAGATGAACGAAAAACAAAATCGCTTGATAGTTGAGGAACTAAAAACATATTTAACCCTAATAATATTATTGTAACATCCCAAAAATATAGCATAAAACTGTATACAAGTGTCATCAGTTTATAATATGGTAAAACAGTTACTGGAAAATAAAGTTAACCTTATAGTTATTACAAAATAACCATAAAGTTTAAAACTTTACAGAAGTCCTACACTATTCCAAACTAAGTGCATAAATCTGAACGCTTCATACAAAACTATTCACAAGACCGAGCGGTCTGGTACTAAGCCGAGGGGTCCTCTCCTTCCAAGGACTGCTCCACCGAGAGCTCCTCTCCAACTGCTCACACCCATATGGTGATCATTGCAAAAGAAGAACCGAACAAGAAACATGGACAAAATAGAAAATAAGGGTAAACTAACGTAATTTAATTGTATACACATACGTACATTTCACACAAGTCCAAACAATGCAATACCAAACACTACAACATACCAAAACATAATACAAGCAAGCATATACAAACCGAACACTATACTCATGCATAGACCGAACACCATAATTCATGTATAGACCGAACACCTGACTTGACCATCCAGATTGTATGAATGTGTAGCTACAGGCGTTTTTGCACTTGTAGTGGTGAAAAAACAAGACCCCATCAAGCTACCCCACAAGGTTAGTCCAGTGAAGATTACCTCGATACCCTGAGGTTAAAGGACCTCCTACCATTCTCACACATAAGTTACTCCTCTCTACTTGAGAATGAGTAATCACAGAATATCAAGATAAACACCAACTTTGCACGATACCCACATTCATACTTTACAATTCCAATACCATCCACGAGACATTCCTCCTTGGAATTCTCTTCCACATTACTTGTAAACATAAATCCTCATCAATTATCATAGCATAATTTTACCCAAAACCCAATATTCTTCCAACTTCTACTCCTCCAAAAATGATTTCTACACCACTTCAAACCTATCTAAGGGTCCTAAATATCTCTAACCTTCCTTCACCAAATTTCACCCAAAACACACCCAGAAATCTACATAAACTCAACTTGAGGACCCAAACTCATATTATACAACTTTTATACATTTTTCACCATCTTAATGATTCTAACAAGTCACAATACACTTGTTCAAACTCACCTCACTGCCAAAAACCACTCCTGACCTCTAACTCTCATTTTCACCCTCTCACTTCCTCAAATTGATATTGGCCGAACACTTTTTCTGCATAATACTCCCCACATCCAGTTCACAAAGTTTAGTTCTCACATTCAATCAACAACAGAAATTCAACATGCATTTCAATCAATCATACCATTCATTACAAACATATAAATATACAAGTTAAATTATTTAGCTTCCCTTACTTCTTAACTGGACCGAAAGCTCACAGTTGCAGAAACTCGCTCACCACCAAAAATTCTAGAAACCTATGGTTCACTGATTAATAGAAATAGACCAACCAAAAGACCAAAAATGTGATCAAAATTTAAGAGAAGAAGATGACAAAACACATGCAACTAGAAACTTGGCTTGCATGTGCCAGAAAACATAATTTCTAAGAAGAGGATGAACTTACCAGCTTAAAACAACAACTTGATCGGTTCAAAAGAAAGCTCTTGACACCAAGAAAGCTCAGGCATGGCCTGATTGATAATCAGATGAAGAGATCGTGAGAATTTCTAGAGAGAATTTGTAGGGAGAAGGAGGAAAAAATGAAATTTAGAAACTTGGAGAGAAGAAGTGCATGAGAGTGACACGAAATTTTGAAAAGTTCCTTTATATACTACCGTCAAAAACCGATTGGTCCAATCAACTGCATACACTTATCTTCCACTTTCTCTGAATTTCTGAATCTTACAATTATAATTTTAAATTAAATTAAATATTTATTAAATTTTAAATAAAAAAAAACTGTAAGGCTATTTTACGAATTTTAATATATGATAAACAAGTTTTTGAAAATTTGGTTTTTATTTAAAATGGGTTAAATATGTTTTTAGTCCCTAAACTATTGGCCGTTTCTGGTTTTCGTCCCTCTTTCAAAGTAAGGTACAATTTAGTCCTCATTCTTTTCGAAACTTTGGTTTTAGTCCTCGAAAACTAACACCGTTAAAAATATGCTGATGTGGCTAACGGAAAACTCACAGAATTTTTTTTTTGTCAGAGTTTATCAGTTTTTCTCCAGTGTCATCTCTCTCTCTTCAACTTCTCTTTCTCTCTCATTCCTCCAAACCCATTCCAATTCTCACTCTCATGGGTTGTTACCTCTCTTGCAAATGACCAATCCACAATCGCAACCTGTGACCCTCACTTTGAAAAGGTAATTTAATTTGTACATGGTGAATTGTTGATTTTACTGATGTATTGCATAGTATAGTTGAGTGCGAACCTTGGGACAATGGGTGGGGTTGTTTTCTTTCTGTTTCAAATTCTGGAAACAACCTCTCTGCTGGGTAGAGTAAAACCTCACTACTCCTCAAACCTGACAGGGTGGGAATCTCATGCGTTGGACTTTCATTTTCGTATTTTTTTTAATATATTCATTTCTAATGTAGATATTTTGCCCAGTTTTATCATTTAAGCATGTTACCTTGTTGAGATGGCTTTAATGTCTGTGTAATTAGTTACTGAATCATTGTTACAAAATAAAAAAGGATGTCCTCTCGGGAACAAAATCACCTTCACTAAAACCAAAGGATGTCCGGCCATCACCGTCACAACCTGCACCACAACCACAATGGTAGTCCTCGGTTTCTGTCTTTACAGCATCTAATGAGACAATAAAGGATGCTGCAGATACTGCAGCCTACAGAATTGTCGATGCTGAAAGTAAGTCATATCTGGCTTCGGAAGCAGTAAAGGAGGCAGAGAAAATATCATTGCAGATACTCTAATTTCTTTCTTTCGGATATTCTCAGCGCCAGAAGCGACGAGGGAGATTTCGGCGTAGTTCAAGTGGCGGATTGGTTTGGCAGCGAGGGGTTTGTGCTTCTTAAAGTGAGGGTCGCAGGTTGCGATTGTGGATTGGTCATTTGCAAGAGAGGTAACAACCCATGAGAGTGAGAATTGGAATGGGTTTGGAGGAATGAGAGAGAAAGAGAAGTTGAAGAGAGAGATGACACTGGAGAAAAGCTGATAAACTCTGACAAAAAAAAAATTCTGTCAGTCTTCCGTTAGCCACGTCAGCATATTTTTAACGGTGTTAGTTTTCGAGGACTAAAACCAAAGTTTCGAAAAGAATGAGGACCAAATTGTACCTTATTTTGAAAGAGGGACGAAAACCAGAAACGACCAATAGTTTAAGGACTAAAAACATATTTAACCCATTTAAAATTTAAAAATTATTTAATTTATTTTAATATAATTTAATGTATTTGAATATATTAAATCAAATTTCTTATTATTGTTATTATATTATTATTTTTATTTTTATTATTATTATTTTATTTTTTGTTTTTAATATAATTAATATAAATCATATTTTAATAATTATTAAAATATAAAATTATATTAAATAATATTTAAATTTTAAATTAAATTAAATTATTATTAAAGTTGTGTAGAGTGCTTTTAATAAGAAAGAAAAAAAAATGAAGAAATATTTATTATATTTAAAAATAATTTTTTTTATTAAAATTAATATAAAATTTTTGAAAAAGATTAGAGGTATTAAAAATGGAATTTTTAAAAGTGAAGAATGTTGAAAGTGTAGGGTGAAACACCCCAGTTTAGAATAATCAAGCCCATGTAAAGTATTTGGGTTTAGCCCAACAGGGCCACTAAAAAGTGAAAAAAGAAAATCCATTTCCCAGAGTAGAAACAAAGAAGCGTAGACGTAGAAGTAGAAGCGTGACGGAAACTTGCTGCTACCGATTCCCTTCTTCCGTCATCACAGGTTTGGAAAAGTAACCGTCACTTGGCGGTTTATTTTGTCCCTCTTTTTCCCACTGCCACCACCGTTAATTAAAGTAAAAGCGATGTTCAAACGAAGAAAAAAGGATCAGAGTTTTAGTAGTGATAGCAGTGCCTCAGATACAGCCATGCCTCCTTTTCCTCACGTCAGAACAACTCCAACACCTTCATTCAAATCCTTCCTCTTGATGCTCTCCATTCTCCTCAACCTCTACCTCCTCTTTCTCACGTGGGCCCCATCATCCGCGCCACTTACTTCACCCACTCGCATCACCACCCTCTCCCCGACCACGCGCCGCCACCTCCTTTTCTCCGTCGCCTCCTCCTCCCTCTCATGGCATCGCCGCCTCCCCTACCTCCGCCTCTGGTACTCCCCCAACTCCACCCGCGCCCTCGCTTTCCTCGACAAACCACCGCCACTTCCTCTGAACTCCTCCTCCTCCTCCTTTTCCCCGCCGGTCGTGATCTCCGCTGATACCTCCGCGTTCCCCTATACTTTCCGCGGGGGGCTGAGGTCTGCGATTCGAGTGGCGCGAGCTGTGAAGGAGGCCGTGGATCGTAATGAGTCAGACGTGCGGTGGTTCGTGTTTGGCGACGACGATACGGTGTTCTTCGTCGACAACGTGGTTCGGGCGCTAGCGCGGTACGACCACCGCCGGTGGTTCTACGTCGGGAGCAACTCCGAGAGCTACGAGCAGAACGTGAAGTACTCGTTCCAGATGGCGTTCGGCGGTGGCGGCTTCGCGATCAGCAGTTCCCTCGCCAGGGTTTTGGCGAGGGTTTTGGACTCTTGTTTGAGGAGGTACGCACACTTGTATGGCAGCGATTCTAGGATTTATTCCTGCGTTGCTGAGCTCGGTGTTGGCTTGACTCATGAACCTGGCTTTCATCAGGTCCTTTGATATTATTATTATTATTATTATTACTACGTTCTATTTGGTTATTGTTTCTCTGTTACGTTTGTTTTTTGCTTTTATCTATGCGCATGTGTTGGATTCGCTGGCTGTGTTATTTTCTCTTTTTTTTTGGCTGTTTCAATTTTTGTATGGGGAACAGTGAACTCAACTCTGTCGGGTTTTTTTTATCACGGGGAGATTCGGCACGCTATAAGAATTTCATTTAAGAAAATTTGAAGGCGATGGGTGTGTGTAGAGTCTTTTCTTATATATTTTATATACTGCTCTTCAAAATCATTCCTATTCATTCCTACTTAAGAATCATTGTGACACTTACAAGTGGGACCAAAATGACACGCGGAATCATAACAAACACTTTGTAGGTGACTCTATGCATGTGATGCTGTGTATTGACCTTCGCATATGGATTGATTAGATATTAGAGTTGGAGTAATTGATAGAATTTAGTTGTTATGGCTTGTGTTACTCTCTGATTGAATTGTCCCTCCAATGTGTCTATCCAAGGTTCGGAATCTCAAAGGGAGAGACCTTCATTTAATTCTGATACTGTCTTTGATATGCCGTGTAACAAAAAGGGGGAAATGTGAAAAACGGGGTTGGTTCTCAGCGTCTCCTACAATGTGGTCAATGAAGTTGAAATCCTTTCTATAGTGAGTTATCTATATTTAAGTTTCTGACAGTGTTTCAAATAAGATTGTCTCTGAAAGAGAATACGTGAGAAACCAAAAAAGGGGAAAGCGCAGTGAGATGTGTAACCTTTATTTGTTCTTTAGTATCTTATGGGCTGTGATTTTTTGTTTTTTGGCTTGGTGTTAATGCACTGAAGAGTTGGATGTCCCATGGATTACTCGCTTACTTCCTTTATGGGTGTTGGAGGCTTGTTTACAAGGACAAAACTCAGAT